ATCTCCTCAGTCGAATATTTTGGAGCTATAGGCGGCCTACGAAGCTTTGCAGGCCTTTCACTATTTAATCAGGGGTGCACAAGTCAAGATCAGAATGGACAACAGGACAGCAGTCACTTATGTAGCTCGGCAGGGGGGAACCAGGAGTCTCTCCCTGCTGGAAATTGCTTCCCCCCCTATTTACTTGGGCGGAGAAACATCTGCTGGATTTGACAGCCTCATACCTCCCAGGAGTAGACAATACCCTTGCAGACAGACAAGTCGAGTCTTCCAGGACCCGAACGACTGGGCGTTGAATCCCCTATACCTGAAACCAATATTTCAGCGCTGGGGGACTCCTCAGGTGGACCTGATGGCGTCAGAGTAGAATACGAAGCTCCCAATCTTCTTCTCCCGATTTTACAGTCAGGATGCTCTGTCCCTTCCATGGACTTTTACACTGGTCTATGTCTTTCCCCAACTCCCTTGATCTTATGGACTCTCCTGAAGATAGACAGGGAGCAGGTGGGGGCGATAGCTATCCTCCCGTGGTGGCCGAAGCGGCCGTGGTTACCTCTGCTTCTGGATCTGATGACCGCACCTCCAATACCATTGCCTCTGAAACGGGATCTTCTGCTGCAACTTGTCCCGGCTGAATTTGATGGCTTTCTACTTGAGAGGCAGAGATTACAACGGCTGAGTCTCTCATCCTCAGTAGTAGAAACTCTGTTGAAGGCTACTAAGCTTTCCACCAAATCAACCTATCACAGGGTTTGGGTGCGTTTTTTGGCCATGGCCTCAAATAAGGGGTGGAATCCTGAAGACCCTTCGATTGGTCAAATTCTTGACTTTCTCCAGTCAGCCCTTGATGTGGGTCTCAGTTACAATACCTTGAGAGTTCAGGTACCTGCTCTGACCAAGGTCCGTTGGGCTTTTCATCCTATGGTGAAGCAGTTTCTGAGGGCTGCCTTGAAGATAAGGCCTCCGGTGAGGCCCTTTTTTTCCAAATGGGACCTTCCACTGGTGCTGAGGGAATTATCGAGAGGTCCTTTCTCTCCCGCTGTGTCAAGTTCCCTGTACCATCTTACCTTACTGACGGTTTTCAATATGGCCATTCTCTCGGCCAGGAGAGTCGGAGCTTAGGGCATTTTCAGTCAAGGAACCTTACTGACAGTTTTTTTCAGATCGTGTGGTGTTGAAGCCCATGCCGGAGTTTCTGCCTAAAGTCTCTACGGAGTTTCATGTCAACTGGGAATCAGTGCTGCCGGCTATTAATGTGGTAGATCTGTCTGTGGAAGACAAGCTTCTTAAACAGTTGGATGCTGTGGAAGTCTTGTCTACCTACATTGCTAGAACAAAAGACTTTCGCACTTCAGATAATCTATTTGTTCTCCCAAGGGGTCCTAAAAAAGGAGCCACAGCTTCGACTAGATTGCTATCTTCGTGGGTGGTCAGGACGATTCAGCTGGCATATGCCTCAGCAGGTCTTCCCCCCTCCTCTTGAAGTCAGGGCTCACACGACCAGATCGGTATCTACCTCCTGGGCTGCTTACTCCAAAGTTCCTGCCGAAATTGTTTGCAAAGCCACCAGCTGGTCCTCTCCTAATACGTTCATCCGACATTATAGGGTGGACGTCTCCGCATATTCAGCTTGTTCCTTTGGATCGGCTGTGCTCTCTGCGGCATGTTCTCATTGACCTTTCAAATAAATTGCTTTTTTGCATTATATACCCTCCCATGTTTTTGTGTAGCTAGCTATTTCCCATGGTATGCTGACATGCTAACGGAAAAAGAGCCAGGAAAAGGAAAGTTATGGTAAGTATTGATACAATTTTCCATAATATATATATTTACTGAGTAAATAGATGCCAAAAATGAGGAGAAGAACAATGGTAATCAAAATTGTCCATAGGCGTGGCTCTAAAAGCCTTTACTGTTCATCAGTTTAGAGTTAACAGTGAATTATGGCCCCAGAATTATTACTCTCACTCCAACGTTCGCAGTGATACCTAACATGCGACGCAACCGTCGTTTACATGCATGATCATTCACATGTACAGTAGATGGCGGGAACAGCGGGGTTGGTTGTTATTGTTTTTAATTTTTATCTTATTATTATGTTTTTAGATTTTTTCAATAACTTTATTGCTATGACACAGGGGATAACAAGCCCTGATGTGATAGCGTTTGGAGGTGACAGGTTCTCTTTATGGAGACATCTGGGGTCTATTAGAACCCCCGATGTCTCGCCTACCCTCCAATACAGGCGATCAAGCACATGAATGTGCTTGATCACCTGTGTAACTGGCACTTCAGCCGGCTTCTGACAGGTCTGAAGCAGGAAGTGCTGATAGCACAGCACTCCCTGCCTCACTGATAACAGAGCAGACCAGGAAGCGGACATTCCTTGGTCTTCTCAAGCTTTCCATCTTGACACTGTGCCGTGGTCCTGGGTTCCCTAGAGGAGCACGGGACCCTGAAAACCAAGGCAAAGGAGTGCAGGGGGCACCAGATTTGCAGGCTGCTACAAGTGATCAGATCACTTGTACTGAACAAGCATCACCTGGAAAAAAAAATGATACCAAGATCATGGCTGCAGCAACAGATCTTGGTATAGCAGCTTCAGGATGAGGACTTATATATACGTATAGTGGTCCTGAAGTGGTTAAGAAATGTTTTTTACAATTGTTTATATTTACAGATATACATACACTATTACAAATTAAATTGTTTTTTTCCTATATTTTGTATAGTATAAATAAATACAAAAATTCTTATTCAGTTCTACCTTAAAAAAACCTTAAATATTAGTCTTATTTACATCTGATTTCCCTAAAGCCCACAGTGGTTATATAAGGACACTTATTGTGGGTGTGCACATTTATAACATTCACTGTAATACAATAGAATAGAAACATTTATCTTTAAGACAAGAACATTTTCCTTCACATGTGAAAATATTTTCTATCTAAAATGTAAAACATTTGTGGTTTTTAAGATAATGATATTTAGGATAGAGTGGGGGGAGGTTTTTATTGCTGTCTGTATCCATGTTGGGGAGTGTCACTATTTGTTCTGGTGATAACTGTCATTGGGACTAGAAGTAATTTGGACAGGAAGGGGAGGGAAAATCTTGGTAATCTTCCAATGGGGATACTTGCTCGGATGACAACTGTCTAAGAAGGCATTTTATTCTTACGGACTTTGGAAATATTTATTTTCACTTCTTGTTGTGGCTACAGGACAATGGACACAAATGAAAAAACTGCAAGGGGTTTTAAGCATTCCACACACTATCCAAAATGAAAAACGTGAAAAACGTTTTGGCTTAGACTGAGCTCTATATGCAGCACATGGTGTCTTAAGCTGGGTCAGCAATACAGAGCACTGGCATGTGCTCTGAAATGTTGGGCACCAGGGAGACGGCAGTCTGCACGGTGGTCCCCTTCATGTACAGCTCCTGTGTGGGTCAGGACTGACAGCTGATGAAGGAAGCCCTACAGAGGCTGTCAGTCATGCTTTGCAAATGCAGAGTGAGTGTCATAGAGAAGATGAATACATTTACAGTTAAGGTTGAAATAATAATTTAATATTTAACTGCTGTCTGCATAAGGGTCTGTTCACACTTAAGTGCTGTGTTGCATTACCGTGTTGTGTTAAGGCATCTCATTCGTTTTCAATTAGCTGGCAACACAGCCAATATCGGATATTTCTATTTTTCCGAAGCAGTGCACTAAAACACATTTGACCGCTGGTTCAGAGCCTAATTTAGTTCTGTACCTCCATACATTCTACCTGTCACTACTTGGCAAAATGGCATGCGTGGGAATGTAAACCTGCACAAACGTTACACTACTTAGTTGCTGGTAAATCTAATGGAAATGTGCCGCTTACCTTACCTGACTAAATAGAACTAATCAGTATAGTATTCTTAAAGGAGAACTATGGGGTTAGGGCTTTTCCCCATAGTTCTCCTAAGGGTAACGGCCCTAAGAGGACATAAACTAGCATCCTCCCATCACCCTAAGCTTGGTATACCGTGAGCAAGAGCTCACAGTATACTGAGACGCGACAGCTGCAGCAGATCCCGACAATTATGTCTGGATCCGCTCAGCTGCGTGAGTGACAGCTGGCTCTGCCTATCTAGAGGCAGAGCCAGCTGTACCCGCCCCTCCCCGTCCGTTCTGCCAGTCAGCGCTGGAGGATCGGAGCAGGGAGGGGGAATCCAGCCACTCCCCTGTCACGGCTCTCTGCCGTAACAGGATCGAGAAGTGAGCGAACTCCGGTATGTGTTCGCTCACTTCCCGATCTACTGAGCCGGCCTATGACAGTCTCATTGTCACAGGTCGGCTAGAACTATGAGGATGAGTGAAAATCACTCACCTCATAGTTCTCCTTTAAGTAAGCTTTCACATGGTATGAATACAAACAAAGGTCACACTTCCAGTGACATCATGCCTATTACAAGGTGCTTTATTCAGCAAATAAAACACACGCACTATACAAATTAAAGAATGAAATAATTGCTTTATAACATAGTATACTGTATTAGTGATATGTGAAATAAATACTTTATAATACATAATACATCAGAGTTCCATGTTTCAAACCATTATCTTTATAA